GACTTAGTTAAGTAAACTATTTGATTAACTCATATTTTAAATGATAACAATAGTCTCTATTCAGTTTTTACAGTTATTTGTCAAGGGAGAGACTTGAAACATCTTCTGAATGCTCAAAAGAAACTGGATGTTCATAGTCATGTAAAAATAAAGTTTCCTAATCAAACACTCAATAAATATTTTTGTTCATTTTTCCATGCAGAAAACTATTAAAGGTGTAACAAATTAAATTTATGGCACCAGCTCATTCCAAGAAACCACATTTTTGACATACTCTTTGAAATACTTGAAATATTTCAAAATAAAAAATGTAGAAGTAAAAAAAGTATTTTTGAATGTGCTGATTGAAGAAAGTTCAGATTACATTAAGTGGAACCTATAAATATCCAGTCTTTCCTGTATTTCTCCTTACCTGTCTGGTAAAAAGAATTGCAGTATCATAGTGTTCTGCGTGTCGGTCACTGGGAGGATTATGTTGCTTCTGCCAGTTACAAAAATTCCTTAAAGTGAGAGCAGCATTTGAAGATACATCAGGCCCCTTCTCCTCATCATAGATGACTATTATTTTCACCATCACCAAATTAATAGGGTTCCGGATACTAGGATGCTTGTACATTCTGCTAGCCACAGACAGGAGTGTGAGAAGGTAGTGCTTCAGTCCGCTGCCATGGAACTCTGCCATAGACTGGTCAGCTACAAGCAAAGTTTCCACATAGCGGGGGCTTGACACAAATCTTTTCTTCCTTATAGGTCTGTTTTCTATATTTCAAAAAAAGTAAAATGTAAGAAATATATATTACTAATATTTCCCAACATATTTATACAATTGGCAAATCATAATCAACTACTGCCAAAATAGAACGGGAATCCCAAAGATTATCTAAACAGCCCATTCTTTATTTATTTCAAATAAAACTTTAAAAATCTAAAGAATGTTAATGAATGTTAACCCTATTACAAAGGGTTAAATCCTCTGCCTATTAAGAAATATTTCTATTGAGGATTTTCACAATGAATCATTGCTGCTGTCAATAAATTTTCACAGCCATCCTCCTCAAAGACTAAAATTACTGAAATGAAAGGCTTTGCCTGGATCTCATCCAAAACTTCCCAAGGGCATGGAAAAGGAAATACTCCCACTCTCTTTCTCTGGTTTCCAGTTCCTGTTTCGTAATCAAATAGAAAGGAGTTTCATCTTTCTGCAACTAAAAGTATGTCAGTTATGTAGGTGTCCCATTGTCTGGGCCTGGCAAGTTTATGCCAGGCCTGACGTTGGATGGGAGCTCTTCATTGGGAACTAAAAAAAAATCATCCTGGAAGAATTGGAGTGGTAAACCACTAGTATTTGGCTGTTGAGGTAATTACACAAATGTGTTCATGAATTTATCAAGAATGCAGCTCAACTTGAAAGGGATTTCATTGTTTAAAAAGAAATTACTTGAAAGATATGCTTTCCCTTAATAAAGCTATGTTTGTTATTATGTACAGATACTATATATTAATATTTTATGTTTGTGGGATTTTACATGGGAAGCCAAATCCAATAACAAACAGTTGATTTCAAGAGGATCTGAGAGTGGACTATCCTTGAATCAGCACCAAGCAGCATCTCAAAACAGCATAATCTGGATGAGGTTCAGCATAAAGTTGTTCAGAATGGTCTGTTCCCAGATTGGTAAATATTGCACATCCTTAATTGCAAGTATTCTACAAGCTAGTATCCTCCACATATTTATTACAATTCCAAGGCAGAAGGGCCAATGGCTATCAATTCTGGAAATTGGAATCCAATATACACAGAAGGCATCATATTAGAGAAAGTTTAGGATACTTTTATGAGAATACAACCAAAAGCTTTAAAGTCCTCTTTGAACAGAACTACCTGAACACATCTGTCTAGTTTTCTTGACAAAAATATAAGAGTACTTTGCCATTGCCTTATAGGATTTTTTTTTTAACTTCTGGGTCTGGCCTATATACATATATACTAACTAGGTCCAAACTTCCTTAGTTTTTTTAGACTAGCTCTAGTGAATATTATGCAATAGCTAGGTAGATCTAAAACACAGGTCTTCAAACTTGGCCCTTTTATGACTTATGGACTTCAACTCCCAGAATTCCTCAGCCAGTGTGCCTAGCTTAGGAATTCTAGGAGTTGAAGTCCACAAGTCATAAAAGGGCCAAGTTTGAAGACCCCTGATCTAAAACATAACATTGTGGAAATTACAATGTAAAATACTAGAGAAAGTAACCCCCTTATGGTATTCAACTAGATTCTAGGTACTGGAAGCAATTAGAGAGAACAGAATAACTCCAGATTTCCCAGTTAAGATACAAGCCTAAATTTTAGTGAAACACACCATGAAACTGATCAAAAATTGCATATTTAATATATTTCATTTATTTTTACTTACAAGTTACATCCTAATCCTAAAGAAGCTTGCTTGACAATGTAAGTGCCAAACAATTCCACAGAATGTACTCCAAAATGAACATGCATATGTGCTGATTCAATGTAAGATTAAGGCATTAACTTAAAGGGGAGGGGGAATCCATTGCATTAAAAATATGTGTACTTTTTATCAATTTTTTTCAGAAAGTGAGTAGAGCATTGTAAACCTAGACATGCAAATCAAGTTTTAACCGAATTGCTACTTAACTTTTTGACAATGTTATAGCAACAGTAGAATTTGATGTATTCTTTTTTTGCTGCATTTAACTTGATGAAATTCTAAATAAACATTACATTATGTTCGGCCACAAAATATATCCCTTTGATTGCAGGGGTATTTTTCATGTTACCATTAAACAGCTATATGCTACAGTATTCACACTATCAGAGTTTGATTTGACAAGCCATAAACCAGCTAATCCTATTTCAGTTAGGGTAATGAAACGTCTGCAAGAAAACAAGCAAGCTCAGAGAGCACCAAGGATCTCTCATTTCAGTTTACCATGAAGCCACAGACCATATGAAACATGCATACACTGCACCCTTTGAATCCAGATTAGGTGAATTTAGTAATATGTGATGCAAATTCAAGCACAGATTTTCCATGTAAGGCATTCTCGTGACTGCATTTTCCTTATTGCATTAAGTATTATAAGCTCATTTATTAGGTGCAACTCACAAAACACAGGCTCAGAAAGACCACTTTGCAGTAGGTATGCACAAGCTGTCATCAACTAACCAGCAACGTGTGAAATGTTTGATACAAAATGTCTTTCACTAATCGTCCCGAGACTCCTCTATTTTAAATATCCTCCTGCGTTTACAGAGAAACGTTAATCCCACGTATTTAACCGGATTTGCTCCCATTCATAAGACCTTACTTTACCTTGGGACTATTGGGAAATTCTGTCCATTACAAACAAAATATTTGACTTCCCTCCAAATAGCTGAACTCGAGAAATCACTAATTTAACGTTGTTGTTGTTAATTGCGAAGTCGTGTCCGACCCTCGCGACCCCATGGACAACGTTTAACGTAGATACCCCAAATCAATAGCACCTCCCTACTCCCACTTTCCAACGGGAAAAGCAACAACATTCAGCTCAATCTAGTACTTTTTTTTAACGCCTCCATTTATGACCTCAGCTATTAGAGTGACCAACGGCAGCACGTCGAAACGTGGGTTTTGGACCATTCCGAAAGCATTGAAAAGCCTGCGTCTGGGGCGCATGCGCGGCCCGCAGCATCGTCACTGCCGTTCCCAAAGCTAAGCTCCTTGCTCGGACAGGGGCGATGAAGAGAGGTGCGGTGCAGGGAGAATAATACCTGCGCGGGTCGCGTAGTCCGCCTGCTGCTTTTCCCTTTTAGAGGCCGAAGTTTCGTCGGAGTCAGGCACCTCGCACTTAGTACCGCTGCCACGGGGGAAGCGGCTCTGCCGAGAACGGCTCAAGAGGTGGAGCCGAGGCTGCTCCCCTCCTGGACCCTGGGAAACGTTGGCCGGCTGAATGAGGTACTCTGAGCCGCGCAGGTAGAAGGCGCCACGGATTCCCCCGCAGAGGCTGAGCGCTGCGGCTGAGGCCGGATCCCCGTTGACTGTGCCGGAATAGAAGCAGCTGGCTAAGTTCGCGCCGAGCGCTTGGTGGGCCTCCTCTTCCTCCCTCCGGCCTTGGGGGCGGCTGCCAACATACTGGAATGTCAGAGCCGGAGCTAAAAAGCTGCCGTCGGGCTTCAGCTCCAAACTGAAGTGCTCGCCAAAGGCGTCCAGGTGGTAGATCTGGTCGTCGGCCGCTAGCTGCTGCCCGACAGAATCCACTTTCACGGGCACCACCAGCTCCTCCGCTTGTGGCGAAGAAGGGCCGCCTCGAGCACCCAGCGAGAGCAACAGCGTGCTCAACGCCAGGCATGCCTTAGCTCCCTTCATGCTGCCCGCAGCGCGCGAGAGGAAAGGAAAATGAATAACAGCTACGCTGAGATGAGTTTTTTTTAAAAAAAAAACGTTGAAAATGGCAAGCAAACGGCGCCTTAGCACTACCGGGCAGAATGTCTTTCGAACCGTTTAGAGCCGAGCTAATTGCGTTGCTTTGTAATGGCCTAGGGCCAGACGAACAAGAGCGCTGTAGGGCTCCTTCCGCGCCCTGAAATCACTGGCAAAGTCCCGAAGGGAGAACCAGAGATAAGGAGCCTCAGCTCTTCGCCTCGAGTATGGGAGCGAAGGCAGCGCGCGCTTGCACTTATATGGAGTGAGCTCCCCCTTTTGCCCCCGCTGTTGTGGAGGCGGGGACCGAGACGAGGCTTGAGCTCATCTGTGCGTAAAGTCAGCGCGGCAACGGTGCCCCTGCCCGCCTCTCCTTTTAGCGATCAGCCGAACGCTACCCGAAGAGGGAGAACATAAAAGTTGAGGTGGGGGGGGGGGATAAATACTCGGCTTTACCCGTTCACCCTACCACCCGGCCTGGCAGTCCTTTACTCTCCCTCGGCACAGCTCACGCTCCTCTGCAACTCAAGTTTTCCGCGTAGGAGCTGCTGCGGTTGTTTCTTATTCCAGGAGGGGGAGATTTCCTTGAATCCCGTCCACCCAAGTTCTGTGCCAGATCCTCCTCTCCTTCCACCACCCTGTCTGTTCCAAGCCCTTTTGAGAGCCAAGGTTTTTAGGACAGCCGAGCACGAATGAAAGGGTACGAGATATTTTACACGTTTGATGGACGTTGTACGTTTCTGGAAAGATTTCTAAAACTAAGGCAATAGTAGCACAATTGCTCAATATACATCAGTGATAGAACAGGTGAACGTGCAGTCATAGGTATCCACCACATGAAGTAACTTTCTTTCTGTTGTGTTTATCTCATCTAGTGAAACACTGGATAATAAATGTTTCAAAGAAGAAAGCATTGGGGAACCAAGGTACAATATTTACACCTTTCTGTTTTGGACCTAAAATAAAGCTTTTATTATTTGGTTCCAAGAAACTTACTAATTTAAAGGAATAGCATGCCCTCAAAAGACCTTGATTAATTGTAAGCAGGAAGTAACCTATAGGTTATTTTCCTTTATAATTCTCATGGTGCCTACTACACTATTATAGCCTGTATGTATTGACTGTTACATACCCATACAATTGGAAACATATATTCTTTTTAGGTAACTTAAGCCGAAACATTTGTGTAGGTACAGTTTTCCAAATGAGCTCTAGCAGTACAGCTAATCCACTTAATTCTTTGTATGCATCAGGTTTGGGATTTCTGTTTTGATTGCATGGTTTTGCACCCCCATCCCAGTTAAGATAGGCTTCTAGAGACTTAGGGTAAAGACTCTTCCTCCAGACACGTCTGGAATAAGTAATGCTTTAGTTCCAAAGTTTTCTATTGCGTCATCTGTACATGAGAGTAATATTCATAGTGGGTTTTTTTTTTAAAATTTGGCCTTTGTACAAAGACCACGTTTCACTGTTGCTATCAGCCTGTAGGGCTTTGCTCCCTAGATCCAAAGGCCATGGCTATTCTTGCATCACAGTTGAATATATATATATATATATATATATATATATATATATATATATATATATATATAGGCATTTTTGTTGTATAATTAGTATTTCCTGCATGGATATTTTTGTTATAAATAAGTCTTTTTCATGCAATAGTAATTTATCTTTCATTCTTTCATTATAATTCTTTTTCCATCACTTTTACAGTGTTTTCCTTCCACACAAAAATCTGCATTATATTATAAACTCTTTGACTAAACATCTCAATTGTCAAGCTTTCTCTGAGTTTTGTTTCGTTATATAAAAGTTTTGTTTATCTGTTATTTTTGCTTATTGTTGGACAAGGATAATATATTTTAAACAAGATCTATAGGATTATAAGTTTTTTTATCTACTGAATCAAGCAGCATTAATGGGAGAAACTGGAATTATTTCATAAGAGATATTTGTATCAACACAAAATATTTAGAATACAAGGACACTGGATTTATCCCTTCGAAAAATGTTAATATAGAATGTTAGCAAACAGATTAAAAATTATGTGTATTGTCTAAGAAAAAAAATAATTTTTACTTCAAATATAATTTTCTGAAGCCACCTATAAAATTTTGAGTTTTGATTAGAACAAATATTTTCTGTATTAATTTATCAATTTTGAAAAATGGTGAAACACACTCCTGTAATTTTTGCTTGAAAGTAAGTACCTTGAATTCTATAGGATATAATCTAAAACATATAGATTGTTTTCATTGGTTTCATAAGCATACTTAATGTGAAGCAATTTTTTTAAACTTAGTGCCCAGCTTCTAGCAAATACTCTACAAATTGAACAAATGTGTAAAGATTTTTCTTAAAAGGGAATTTTACAACTTAAAATTACTAGCATTAGTATAACTTTGTTTCAATTTATCTATCTCCCTATTGAAAATTCAGCAAACTATCTACTTATCAAATACTTTATGATCATGTGTATCCTATCTAACATCAGTACTACCATATATTGATAGTTTAAAAAATACAGACTACCTTAACACTATTATGAAATTAAAATATTATTTTCCACCAGATGGCACTCTAAGTATTAAAAACCATCAGTTTTCTAATACTTTGCAACTATGAATTTAGCTTCTTTTGGAAGCCTTGATATTTTACTTATGATCAGTATTTCGTGAAAAAAAATTGTGTATGTGTGTGTGTGTGTGTGTGTGTATATATATATATATATTATCTAAGAAACATTTTATAAAATAAATGAAAATACTTCGATACATTTTTTGTATTAAAATACTAAATGTTATATAAACATGAAGTTAAGATTCAATTAAATCAGAATGTACTTATAATACGCATTAAAGGTAAAAATTATGCTATGAATTACCTTGTACATGAGGCATATTTTTGTAGGTAACATAGATTATTAAATAATTTGATAACCAGCCTATGGCTGGACTGTCTAATAAACTGAGATTGTGCTGATAAAGGAGCTTTCTTTATAATTAAACTAGTTACAAATGAAGCTATGCTTAAGCCTCATTGAAATCTGTGGGATTTAAGTCATGATTTAAAAACAATCGGTTTTGGTAGGAATAATAGACAACTAACAGAACACATAATCTTGTTATGTCACTGCGCCAAAGCAAGCCCTGTTGAATTCCAGTACATAAATTTCCAGGTAAATATACTTGTAGTTGTAATTCAGTGTCTCCAGTGACAAATGTTATACCATAAATCATGTTTAACATGTAATAATTGGGTTCAAATATTATACTAAGCAAGAGTTAAGGATACCGATTTTACAAACTGTCAACCCACTGTGGTTTGGACTGAGAATGGTACTGATTGAGTCAGTTACATCCAAGATGGAAGAATTTGTACACATTTCTTTTAGTTAATTTAGCTGTAATGCTGCAAGATAAACTTTTGAAACCATCTCATGAAGAGCTTTGGAGGAAATAAGGATATTTTTCTCCATATCAAGTGGCTTTATAAATTAACCCCATAACTCTGAGTTCCTGAGGGATGTCTGGAACACACAGGAAAGTTTATGAAATAATTTGCACGCAGTTGGAATCCCCTATTTTCTTCCTATGCTATTAGTGCTTGCTAGTTCTAGAATTGTATACATATTTCTAATTCTGTTGATAAAATTCAAACCACCATGAAGAAATCTGTAGACAATGAAAAAATTGTAGCATTCTCACTTTTTAAGCTGTATACCTATTTCAAAACATGTTGTGCTGAGCATGTTAAGGTCAGCAATTGATTTTTTTAAAAAAAAATAGAAAAATAAGAAGTGACATTAGCAATGTAAACCACCAGATGGCTCACTAACTTCAAGAAAACATTCACTGTAATGAATGTTTTAAAACGTTCATATGAATTGTAACTAATACAGTAATGTAAAATTTTGCCAACTTTGTATTGATATGTTGCATGAGTTTACAAATTTGAATTGCCTTGAGAAGATACTGTTTGTTGAATGATAATAGTTTTTGGCTGCATAAATTAAGTATTAATATGTTCCATTCATAGAAATTGCATGAAATCAGAAAGTAAAAGTAAATTACCAACATCTGTAAATAGTGCTTCAAATTAATAGACAATATTCTACCCTAGTCCAAAGACTCATACAATTCAGACTAAATAATGTTATCATTTTATTATACTGTCTAGATTGGATTAGTTAATGAAACATCTACAGATATTGCTATGGCTGTGAGTCCCATCTGGAGTTTGCACTGCTGTTTTATCAGACTCATGCTCCTCTACTGCCTTGCCTACACAAATGCATTAGTTATGGCTCACACATGATTTCACTTCCACAATTCCAGGCAGCTTAGAAAGCAAAAAAAAAAAAAAAAAAAACCAGAAATTAAAACATTAAAAACAATACAAACTATTAAAATATAATCTATGAGAGAGCACCATCAATTTCACTAGAATACAAGCACGTTTTTTTAACTCTTGCAAGCTACAAGATATCTTATTTAACTTTCAGTTTTTGAGCATGCCACAGTTTAATAACACATGGATAACAAGTTTAAAATAAAAGTAGCCATAACATTATTATATTTTTGCCTTTCACGCTTACTTATAACATCTTTAATTTGATTTTTATGCAGATTTAGATTCTCCCCTTCTACCTGACACTTGTTGCATAGCTTTCTGAAAACATGCACTTTGGAAACTGGATCTTATATATCTCTGAAAGGGTTTCCTAATGTCTTTGGCTTAAACAAAATTTTTGAATTCACAACAAAGGAGTTATCTACTACCAGAAATAACCCAATTGCTCTATCACTTACTGCATCCTAGACTCTTTGCTCTTGACCTTTGAGTCTCTCATTGTCTAGTTCTAGTATAAAGATTATTCCTTGAGACTTTAGGAGCATTTTCATTTTGACTTATGAATGGGAGAATTCCCATCTTTTTAGCTTCTCCACAGGCTGAAATTTTCCTTGAGCTATATCTGAAAGCTTTTTGATTCCCCCCCCCTTTAATCCAATGATTCTCAACCTTTTCTTCACCACAAAACCCCGTTTAAATACCTTTTGTGGCCACAGACACCCCCAAGACTTAACTCAAGATTTAAATCATAACATTTCTTCAAGCCTGTGACGACATTGTGGCCCCCCAGGAGTCCACAGACCACAGGTTGAGAACCACTGCTCTAATCTTTATTTAGCTGATCAGGAGCTTCAGCCTTTGCTTTATGGAACTTCTTTATATCATACTTAATTCTGTTGGGATGTTTGAAGTAGTATCCCTCTGTGAGAACATTTATAAGAATGGGAATCTAACCTGACCAAGGATTAGTCAGGCACATTTTATAATAGAAACAGGAAGGTATTTATTTACAGGACATTTTAGGGATAAGGTAAACCTAGGGGCTAGCTAATTACATCCTAGCAGAAGAGAGGCCAAAATGAAGTGTTCTTGGAAGAAAGGCAGAAGGAAGTATCCTTAGATGAGTATAAACACAATAATAGACAAGGGATATATAGTCTGAATACCTTCACCATACTGTCCTTAGAGCTATAAGTCATGAAGTGCTGAAGAGTGAATGCAATAGAATTTAGACCTCCAAAATTTCAAAGGTCACCTATCATTTTGAAATTGCAGTCTGATTACTTAACAATTCTGCTGCCATTGTGGGCCATTTATTAACAGTAATAATACCATTAACTGTCTATTTTCTAAGATTACTTGCCACCATTCATACTATCTAATGATTCGATTCTCTAATGTAGAATATTACCTAGATTTGTAATGGCAAATCATGAATAGTAAATGAGAAATTGCAATTATTGATTCAAGCCAATAGGAAAATTTAGGAAAGCAAGTACTGAAAGCAAGTACTTCCTTCACAACTTACTTTAAAAGAGAATAAAAGTAGTCCTTGATTAGGGACTGCTTC